AGACCAGCACAGAACACCTAAAGTTAGGAAGGTGATAACCAGTAAAGGAGACTGAGGAGTGGCCAGGTAGGTAGAAGATTAATGAGGAGAGAGTAATGTCACAAAACCCCAGAAATTAGAGAGTAATGAAGCAGAAGGGATGGTCAACAGAATAAAATGCAGCACTAGGTCAAGATGGATTAAGAATGAGCAAAAACATGAGATTTGGTTATCATCTTCTGACAGAAAGGTGATGAACTAAAAACGCAGAGCAAGACACATTTTTGCTCATAGAAAATGTAGGATTTTACTTTGCTCCATTTTAAATATCTATTACATGATTTTTATACGTCTTTTTTCTATCCCATTGGGGAATAGATAATTGAGAGGATGAGAAAAAATTCTTGTTAATTGAAAAGAAAATAAAATTTAATTGAAAAACAAAACAAAAAACATCATTGGTAACTCAGAAGAGTGTAGTTTCAGTTGAGTTGATGCTGGAAGTCAGATTACAAAGGATTGAGAAGTGACAGGAAATAAAGTAGAGATGTGATTTGATGAGGTACCCCTGAAGAGGTATGGCAGTAAAGTCCAGGAAGTCAGAAGAAGAGCTGGTAGGGAGTGGCTTAGGTCCCTTCCCAAAATGGAAGCAGTACTAGGACAAATGCAACAAAGTGAGAAAGGAGCCAGTAGGGCAGGAATGGCATGGCAAAAGGATGTTTCAAGGTGAGGAGGTTGTAGGGCTGATGGATATTCCAGGATGAAAAGACTCCAGAAGCTGAGAGGGGGAATTAACTAATGAAGTAGGTCAGAAATTAATTTTCTGAGAGAGAACTTTGGTAAGAAATGAGAGAAATTGAGGAAATTTTAAAGGAAAACTATCTTTTGGCCCATTAATTAGTCTAGAGTCTACTTTGCAGTTAGAAGTAGAATGAATGTAGGCAGCTAGGTGGCACAGTGGGCAGAGAGAGCACTGGACCTAGAGTCAGGAAGACTTAAATTCAAGACCAGCACTAGACATTTTCTAGCTGTATGACCTTGGACAAATGACAACCTCTATTTACTTCAGTTTCTTCATATCTAAAATAGGGATAATAATACACCTTCTTCCCATGGTTGTTGTGAAGAGCATATAAAATAATATTGTAAAAGTGCTTAGCACAGTGCTTGGCACATATTAGATACTATATAAATGGTTGCTATCATCATCATCATCATTATTAGAATGGATGATAAGGAAGCTATAAAAAGACAAAGAAGGATTAGGAAATAGAAACTGAAGAGGAAAACTCAAGAAGGATAAGGAGAAGGTATCTGGCAAGAAAAGACAAGGTATAAAAGAAAGGGTAAACAGAACAACTAGAGGGGCAGCTAGGTGGTGTACCAACTCTGGAGTCAGGAGGACCTGAGTTCAAATCCGGCCTCAGACATATAACACTTACAAGCTGTGTGACCCAGGGCAAGTCACTTAACCCTACTGCCTAGTCCCCCAAAAAAGAAAAAAAATGGAACAATTAGAGGAGGTGTTCTTAATCTTTTTTTTTTCTTGTCATGGAATCCCTTTGGCAAACAGGTAACTACGTAACTCAGAATAATGTTATTAAATGCATAACATAAAATACATAGGATTACAAAGAAAAGCAATTACATTTAAATAGTTAACATTTTTTTTCCCAAAAAGAGAACCATTTTCCAGACACCAAGTTAAGAGAAGGGAAGAGAATAAGCAAACATAGTGCTTATTTTCTTTCTGGCACTATGCTAAGTGCTTTGCAAATATATTCTCATAACAACCCTGAAAGGTGAGTACATTATTATCCCCATTTTGTAGTTGAGGAAACAGAGACAAACAGAAGTTAAATGACTTGCCCAGAGTCACACAGCTTGTTAGCATCTGAGGTTAGATTTACACTCAGGTATTCCTGATTCCAGGCCAAGTGCTCCATCTACTGTGCCAACTAACTGCCTTTGAATTAGAGGGTTAAGAAAACAGGTAGGTGGGACAAATTTTTGGGTGATAAGAGGTTGGTACAAAGTTGAAGAAAAGGTGGGTAGCTATAGAGTTGCTGAGACAAAGCAAAATAATTTGAGTAGGGCTGTCAAGTTTAAGAAGTGATAATTGGCTATAAAAGTTTTAATCAAGTAATTAGGCTTGAAGTATAAATACCCATAATCAGTTCAAAGAAACAAAGCTAAAAATCTTAACCATTATGATTAGTAGGGCAAATTATTCAGTGAATCATAATGTACAATGTTTATATTTTTTACCAGAGTGATATCACTCCTGGAAGAGATGGGAAAGGAAATCAAAGAATGCTTCTCAGCATTATAAAAGGAAAGTGAAATGACCTTAAAGGAAATAGAAGGGAAGCTGGATGAGGAGGAGGAGAAACTTGACTGTTATCCAAATGATGGCAAATAGTTGGGAGTAACACAAAAGAAAAAGAGAAACAGAAGAAAAAATATGTAATTAAGACCTGTAAAACATTCTAAAGAGGAGAGAGCTGGTGTCTTAGAAAAAGCTGCTTGTCCTCACAAGAATAACATAGTGGAGCCACAGAAGCTATCAGGTAAAAGTTCATATAGTAAGGGTCAGAGGAAGAAGAAAATAGCAGTAACAGTCAGGAATCTTGCACTGAGATATTAAGGCAGCTATTCGTCAATGTAACAACCAATAAAAAGCCTTTATACTAAAAAACTGGAAGAGAAGACTGCCTGTGCATATGCCCCAAGTTAACTACTATATGAGTAGTCAAAAAAAGAAAGAAGATTATCACTTAAGACACCCAGAATGTTTAAGACACAGAATGCAAAAAAGAAGTTAGCAATAAAATGCCTGAAGCTAAGGCAACAAACAAGAAGAAATAAAGGTCCTAACACAAAGAAGAAAATTAAACCTCACTGTATCATTGTATTGAATTAAGGTTCATTTCATTGTCCCCTTAATGGAATGAAACATGACTAGATACCTTATTCAAATGAAAGAGGGTAGGCAAAAATGGGTTGGGGTGAAGTTGCATTATATTTTAAGAACATACACTCATATGAGGAAATCCTAGATTCCAAGGTGGGGGATGTTAGAGAGTATTTGGATGAAGATCAAAGGAGAAAAAACAAAAGTCATTTTGTCATTAGAGTTTATTACATACTACATGGCTAGAAAGAGAAAATAGATGTGGAGTTTTGGAAACACATCACAAATCTGGAACAGAGGAACAGAATGGTAGCAATGAGGATGATAAGAGACATCAGCTGGATTTCTCTTAGACAAAAGCAGTTGCTAATAACTGGTATGGATACACAGAGAACCCACCAATAACTTCGATTACAAATGTATTTAAGATGGAATCAAGATGAGGTGACAGAAGATGAAAATAAGGGTGACTCATGATCTGAGGTCTTCTTCTGTTAGAGAACCAGATAAGAGTGAATGGAACCATAGAAGAAGATTTAGAAGCAGCCTCCATTGGAAATATAATGGACAATCAATTAGAAATGAACAAAAGGACTGATGTGCATTGGTGAGGGCCAAGTTAAGATCAGATGATATAAAAATCTTTATATTTGGTATGTATATATCTTATTTATACCTATATGTGTACATTTTGTCTTTTCCAATAGGTATATGGGTATAATGTAATTTCTTGATTTAAATTTGAAAAGCAATGAGGTATGATACAAAGATAAGTAAAACACAATTGTGATTTGCTCAGACTAATAGGAATTTGCATTTCCTGAGCAAATACCAATTGCTGGCAATGGAAAGATAGCCCAGGTGTATGCTCAGTGAAAGATTAAAGTGAGCTGTTGCTCACTCATTTTGTCAATTGTGTCTGACTCTTAATGACCCCATTTGGGTTTTTCTGGGCAAAGATATTGGAATGGTTTGCTATTTCCTTCTCTAGCTCATTTTATAGATGAGGAAACTGAGGCAAATAGGGTTAAGAGACTTGTCCAGGATCACACAGCTAGTATCTGAGGCCAGATTTGAACTCAGGAAGATGAATCTTCCTGACACCAAGTATGGCATTTTATCCACTGCACCACCTACCTGACCACTAAAGTAAGGCTAAGCTTAAAAATGTTCTCTGGACATACAAAATGAGTAGTCAATATAGATGACTGAGGAATTCCTATGCTTCATGTTGAGATGAAAGCAACAGATATGAAGTAAATAATATAATTACTCATAGCTAACTGTTGACTATACTTTGATAGTCTTTATTTAGAAAGTAGTTCTATGGTATATAGTCCTTAACTTATAATGAAATAGAGCCACCTCCCACAAGAATATATAAAATACATATATCAGTTCTGTTTCATAAATGCTTAGCAAGCAATCTTATAAGAACTAACTATGGCCCATCCTATGCAGAATATAGTACCTTAACAAATGATAAAGTAAAATTAGTGCTCTCACAACAAATGCAGACAGGGTTAATAGTGCAAACCGATATTGAAGTTAAAGGGTAAAGCAACAAGAATTGCCACCACAAAGAACAGTTCAGAACTGGAACCAAGGAACAGAAGTATAATAATTTTAAAATTCAAAACAGAAATATAGGAGTAACAAATATCAAATAAATATTAAAATACATTATTTTTCTATTATTTTCACTGAAAAATACCAGAAAACTTAAAACATTATCACTCATTGTCAAAGCCACCAACAACTGTCAATGACCATATATGTCTTTTTATATTGATTTACTTCAATATAATATTTAGGAATTTTGTAACTGGTCTTTGATTTTTTTGTTATAACTAATTACTAATGAATGTTTTTGGAGGAAATATCTCCATAATTCTGCACTTTTGTTCTATCAATTTCATGTAAGATTATATATGTATATTTGTACACATATATGTACATATATATTCTTTAGGCTTGATATTTTAAAAAATAAAAATGGTACTTCTATATTTCTAAAGTTATAAAAAGACTTTCAAGTTTATTATTTCATATACAAACACAGGTACATCCAACTCTACACACAGACTCAAACATAGAGATTATATACCTGACGTCCCTGTGATGATGATCAATGTATCTGGAGCGAGGTAGAGTGAGATAATGACTTCAAGCGTGGCAGAAACAAGAATATAAACATGAGACTCAGAAACGAAATAGATAGAAATAGTTTGATCAAATTAAAATGAAGTTTAGAAGGACAAAGGGCGGTATATAAAAAGTTTAATGACTGGCAACTTTTTGTACTCAATACATTTATAAATGCTAGAGGTGAAATTGCTGCAGGTACAGTTTCAATAATTCTTATTCATGAAAACTACTCATCACCAATAACTAAAGCATTTCAAAAGTGAAATATTAAATGTCAAAGCAAAACTAAGAAAACATAACATTTTCTTTATAAGGTACAAATATACACATACAAATATATGTTTTTTATATATATATATATATACATACATATACATACATACATACATAATGACTTCATAGGGAACTATATCACTACAGGGATAAGGGATTCAGGGGGTGGAGAGCTTAATTATTTCCAAGTATATGAAGGGCTTTCATATAGAAGAGATTTGTACTATTTGGATCCAGAGGCTATAAATAGGAGAAAGTAGCTATAAGTTATAGAGAGGCATATATAAGTTCAACATTAGGGGGAAAAAAACTTATTTAGAATCAAAATTGTTCAGAAATAGAAAGTGTTAGCTTGGGAAGGAGTAGGTTTCCCATCACTCGAGGTCTTCAAACACAAACAAGTCTCTGCCATCCTTAAAAACACCTCACTAGATCCTATCATGTCTGATAGCTGCTATTTTATATCTTCCCTTCTTATCTAAACTCCTTGAAAAAGCCATTTATATTCAATTTCTCTACTTCCTCTCCTCTCACTCTTTCACTCATCTCTTCTTCCACTCTGAAATCTGGATGCAGATATCATCATTCAACTGAAACTAGTCTCTCCAAATTTAACAATAATCTCAACTACCATTTTTAATGGATTTTTCTCAATTCTGATTCTTCTTTACTTCTCTGAAGCATATGATAACTGCTGACCACCTTCCCCCACAATTCACCTTCCTCTGAGCATTCGTGACACTGTTCTATCTTGTTTCTCACACTACCTGTTCCTCCTGTCTCCTTTGCTGGCTCATTATCCATAGCATGTCCTAGATCCTTTTATTTCTATACTTTCTTAATAGGTGGTCTCATGGGTTCAATTACCATTTCTATGCATTTGTCTCTGAGGTCTATGTATAAAGCTCAATCTCTCTCTTGAGCTACATTTCTTCACCATGAACTGCCTATTGGATATTTCAAACTGTAGGCATCTCAGGCTCAATATATCCAAAATAATTAATTACCTTTCATTTAAGAAGCACTCTTCAGAACATTCTCTCATAAGCACCACTATCCTTCTGCTTGCTGAGGTTGAACTGTTTTGAATATTCATAACACTTTTTATATACATCCCCTTCTCTCCATTCACACAGAAGAACCCACTTTAGTTCAGACCTTCATTACTCTCATTTAAACTATTACAACAGCCTACTGTTTGGTTTTCCTGTTTCATATCTCTCTTCATTCCCATCCTCCACAAAGCTACCAAAGTAATTTTTCTAAAGCTTGGGTCTAACAACATCACTCCACTACTCAATAAAATTCTGACAATTCCCCAGTACCTCTAGGATAATATAAACTCTTGGCAACTAAAGCTCTTCATAAGCTGACCCGTATCTATGTTTCCTGTATATTTACACAATACTTCCTTCCATGCTCTTTGGTTTAGCCATAATAGCTTACTTACTGTTCATCACACACAAACCTCCATTTCCAGTTTCCATATCTTTGTACTGGATGTCCCCCATGTCTGTAATATTTTCTTGTTACATGTCTGGCCTGCTGGAATTCTTTGTTTCCTTAAAAATCAGCTGAAGCAACACTTCTGACATGAAGCTTTTTCTGTTCTCCCAACTGCTAGTAGCTTACCAGTCCCGTACACCATCCCCAGGACATTACACTGAATTTGGTATGTATATGTCTTGTATATACCTATATGTGTACATTTTGTCTCTTCCAATAGAATGTAAGTTTCTATAAGACAAACTCTTTTCACTTTTTCTCTGGACCCCCAAATCTTAGCATAATACCTGGCACATAGTAAGCATTTAATAAATGCTTGATGATTAACTGTTTCAACTGGAAGCTGGATGATTCCATAATCACAGATAATATAGTAGTAATTCCTCTTCAATTAGACTGGACTACAGAGACATCTGAAATTTCTTCTTCTTTGGAAATTCTGCCTATCACATTCATGCCAAAGGAAAAATAGGGCTTGATACACTATAAAAAGCCACAGTTTGTACCCCTGATAACTTTCTTTTTAATAAAAAAAAAAAGTGAAAAAAAATAGGAAGGTATGAAAGGAGGCTGACGGGGGATTAATTTTAAAAGAGTTGGATTCTGTTTCCATTTGACAAATATTTATTTGGTTTCTACCACATGCAAATAACCTTTAGGATCTGAATTGAGACTAACATTGTAAAAAGAAGACAGGACATGCACAGAAATAAGTAATATTCAACAGAACTGATAAATGCAAGAGCAAAGGCATAATTACAGTTTTATGAGACTGGGTAATAGGGAAGGATTAAATCTGGCTATAAGGAGAATAATAATAATAACAATAACTAACAAAGTCTATATTCTCCCAGGATATAGTACTTCTCCAAAGTATATATTGTCCCAGGGAAGACTTCATAACGGTCAAACCTTGGAAAAGGGTAAGATTTTGCATAGTATGTTTGGGCAACATGAATCGTCTAATTGGTCTTTAGACTAGGTTCTATGAAAAACAAAATGAAAATGCCAAGATGGTTTGAAATATATTTTGTATACAACAGGGAACCACTGATGGGGTTTTTTTTTTAACAGAATGCAGCATTGTGCATTAGTAAAACTTTCATTTAAGACAAGAATAATTTAAATCTAAACTACAGTATGCTACATTGTTTTCAAAACTTTCACAGTATCAAAGATTTACTGCAGGAAGGAACCTTAGAGACAATCTTGAATTTTCTTGTTTTACAGATGAGGAAATTGAGATGCAAAGAGGTTAAATGACTTTCCAAAGGTCAAAAAAGTAAAAAGTATCAAGAAATTAAAATAAGTAGCAGAACTGGTATTCAAAAACAGGTCCTCTGACTTGAAATCTATCATTCTTTCTAGTGAAGCATGTTGCTAATTTGGACAGATGAAATTTCTCTCATTAGACAATAATTAGGTAAATAAGTAACCAAGTCAGGCTGAACTCAGGAAACAAAGGACATTCCTGAAAACTTGTAAATAAAGGGAAATTTTGTCAAAGAAATTATACATGAAATGTAAATATTCTCCAAAATGTTGGTCTTGCAGTTAAATTTTTTTCCACAATAAAATCGCTTTAAAAATGTGCACAAAACCTCAGCTACCACTACATAAATTATTTATTGTTAAGAACATACAAAAAAAACTCAGAAAGGAAAGACTTAAAATGTACTACTTAAATATTAAGTAAAAATAGTATATATATGTATGTATATATATGTATATATATATATACACACACACATATGCACACTAAAACAAGTGAGAAGCAGAATAGTTCCATAGAAAAGGAGCTGGAATTCATAAGAAATAGAAATGTTCTTTCTCTAATTCATGTTTTAATAGTGATTCAGATACATTTTTTTATTATACAATTAATGTCCATAATGCTGTTGTCAGTTATGATGGGGGAAATGCTGGCCTTTTAAAATTATATGAACACAGTTATTCCAAGAGATAATTGACTTGGTTGCTTTCATATGGTAAGGCATCAGAACTAGGAAATAAATTTATCTTCTAGTAGACAATTCAGTTTTCTATACATACCATTAGTCTTTTAAAATCACACATTGCCTCTGAGGACAGTACATAATTATGCTTACAATTAACTCACCTTCTAGTATCTGAATTCAGACTTAATCCTTCTTTCTAGCTCTTCTAAGCAAAATAAGAGAGGCAGAGAGAATAACTACCTCAGCCTGAGTAAACCTACAAGTTTAATGCAAAGAAACTTCTAACTCTTTTGCTCGAAGAACTGAGATAATCATTAAGGATTTTAATACTAGACTACTGTCTTTTATCTAGAATTGTTGGTTTTAAGTTTTTTTTTATTTCCTAAAAAATACCCAGAAAGCCTTAACTCACTTTTTAAAAAGTGTTCCTGAAAACCTAAAGAGGAAATTTATAAAGTGCATTATTTAGTCAAATATGTTTTATCACTCAGAGGTTTTATTTGTGTGTGTAGTTACTATTATAGAGAAGGGATTGTTTGCTGCCACGAAATCCTGAGGGTCGTAATAGGTAATGGAAAAGTCATCAGAAAATGAAGAAAATAGTGACTGAATATACAGATTGGGTATATATGAAGGTTGGAATTGTCACTCTTTAATTAAACATTCATCCCTATGTAATGCATATGTACTCTGCTCTTGGACATGTTTGTCTATCTGTCATAGGATAATATGATTTGTAGAATCATTTTTTAGGAAAAAAAATGGAAACTGAGGCCAAGAAACTTTAAACAACTTTTCCAAAGTCACATAACACAACCAGTATTTAAACTTCTGAGTCTAATTCTAATGCTTACTACAACATGTTGTTAAACAGTTGAAATCACATCTGGTACAGAGAAAAATGAATAATTTTCATTAGAATGTAAGCTCCTTAAGTACAGGGAAAATTTCACTTTATCTCTATATCCCTGGCACTGTATCCCTAAGCACAGTGCTTAGCACATATTAAGAGCTTAATAAGTGTTTACTGATTGAGTGATCAAAGTTATAAATAAATTAATTAATGAAGATACATATGTATAATTTAAAATCCTCTAAGATGATCAGATTGAAAATTATCAATTAAATTTCTATTAATACTAACTAATGAGTCATACCATACTCTCAAAAGAAATAATTTTTTCTAAGACAAAATATAGTCAGAGATTTCAAACTTTGGGTTAGACTTGAAAGTTAGGATTGTAACAAAATCAAAAAGAAATCAACAAACTTAAAATAA